GGCGGGCTGGTGTTCCTGCTCTGCCTGTGTGGAATCCAGTGAGTGACCCACCTCTCTTCCACCTCTAGCATGTCCAAAATACTGAAATGTGCTGGAAACGAAGACATCATAACTCTCCGAGCGGAAGACAACGCGGATACCTTGGCTCTAGTGTTTGAAGCACCAAGTGAGTGTTGTATTTGGGAACTAATCTGCCAGTGTGATATTTTTTGGTAGTGTCCATAGACCAAGCAGATGCTGGGACGGGGGGAAGCAAGAAGAAATACTTAAGAAATGGGAAGGGTCACCTGATACTTAAACTCTTGGAACAGCCTGGAGACGTAAGCTTAGTCAACTTGACCAATGCTTTCTTCGTAAGAGAGACTCTTCCTTAGGCCGCGTACAGATGCCCATGGCAGGTTCCTGTCCTCTTACAGCCTACAAAAGGCTGTTTGGGTTGCTTTCAGATTTCTAGCTCTAATTAAACAAGGTGGATCTTATTGTCATAACTGAGGTATTTTTACTGGGGGGGGGGAGGGCGCAAAACTTAAATTCAGGACGATAACCTCTTGGAAACACTTGGTCAAACTATGTTTTGTTTCTTTAGATCAGGAGAAGGTTTCTGATTATGAGATGAAGCTAATGGATCTCGATGTGGAGCAGCTGGGAATTCCAGTAAGTAGTGGCTTGAATGACTGACTAGACTCTCGTAGAAATGGGTGTTTTCCCATGTTCCCATCAGACTTAGTTTGAGCCTGTAACATAACTTCCTTTGGAAAGAGTACACAAACCCAAGTGTAGTGACTAAACTTCTTGGTAGAAGTTTAATTGTGACGCTTCCTTCGCAGGAACAAGAATATAGCTGTGTAGTGAAAATGCCTTCTGCTGAATTCGCCCGCATCTGTAGAGATCTCAGCCACATTGGCGATGCAGTTGTCATCTCCTGCGCAAAAGATGGTGTGAAATTTTCAGCTAATGGAGAGCTGGGAAATGGAAACATCAAGCTGTCACAGACCAGTAACGTGGATAAAGAGGAGGAAGCTGTAAGTTAAGCATTCGTGGTTACTGTGGGGTCTTCGGTGTTGAGGATTCTACTAATATGATTAATTCTCTGACCTACTGGGTGCTAAAGCTGGGTGACTGGAGCGTGTATTTCTCTGGCTCATAGGTTAGAGTCAACAAGTCATTGCCAACTCTAGGTCCTTACCCTGGGGGCCTGCAAGCAGCACTCAGCAGAACGGAGTTGGGGGGTAGCACTGACCGCCTTTGCATGAGGTGTCTGAATTATCTGAGACTTGAGGGAACTCGTTGCATTTATTGAGGTCTAACCTGGCTGATGGTTTTCTAGGTTACAATAGAGATGAATGAGCCAGTCCAATTGACCTTTGCTCTGAGGTACTTGAACTTTTTTACCAAAGCCACTCCCCTGTCACCTACGGTAACACTCAGCATGTCTGCAGATGTTCCTCTTGGTAAGTACAAGCAGCTCTCCTTGAAAATACCCTTGTAGAATGCTGCCACCATAGAACTGCATTAAGAACTCTTGATTGAATGGTCAAGCTCTGATCTAGTAGATGTCCCTGCCCACAGCAGGGGGGTTGGACTAGATGGCCTTTAGAGGTCCCTTCCAACCCAAACTATTCAATGATTCTAATGGTTTTTCTGAAGAACCTTCTGAATGCTCTTTTTTCTTTCCCAGTTGTGGAGTACAAGATTGCTGATATGGGACACTTAAAATACTACCTGGCTCCAAAGATTGAAGACCAACAAGAAGGCTCTTAATTGGAGTAGGACTGAGGGGCGGATCTGGTCAGCTCTTCGGAGGGGACAACTGACTTTGAGAAGGAAATGGTGGTGTTAGCAATTTCAGTGCGTTGGAGCATCGTATGAGCACTGTTAGGCATGTTGTGTAGATATGTTTGTAAATATTTTTCAACTTACTATTTTGCTATACTGGTGTCATTGGAAATAGGAAACTTTGTTTTTTTCTAGTCTATTCCTGTACTTCTGATAATCTTAGATGCCGTCTTAAGGTGAAACATCTTACTCCTTTCAACTTGTGTTAGAGAAGGGGTGCAATATTTAACTTGAGTAAAGGTGATGTTTCCTAGAGTTTCACCCGTGGAGCTGTAGTTGACTAGGGTTGCTGTTCAGTTATGCCACGAGTTTATTTGACCTTCCTTCATCCATTTATTTTAAGCTGGTATTCTAACTGAAACTTGGAAATAAAGAATATAACTTCATGGTTTTTATCCTGTTTAAATGTGGATGGATGAATCAATGCTTTGTCAAACTGTGCTGATGTACCCTAGATCCTTTTTCAAAGGAACTGCAACAGGCAAGCTTCTGCTTTGATCGTTCAGATGTGTTGAAATGGAGGGGGGTGATTAGTGTGAATAACTCAGAGCTCCATCATGCTGTTTCCTTTAAGCAGAGAAGGTTTGTGAAACAGGTTTTGCTTAACACGCATTCGCTTCGGCTGATGCCAGAGCTGCCTCTAGCGGGGACGGTTCCTGTGGCTGTCACTCTGGCTCTAAGTGGAGTCTGAGAGTGTGACACATGCTGTGGTGTAGCAGGGACTGGAAGTTCCTTGGCCTGACGGTGAGCTGTGTGAACCCTTCTTGGTTTTGGCTCTACTGTTTCGGGCTTACTGATGTTAAGCTACTCCTCAGCAGGTCTGTGCATGTCGCATTCATCGGGTGCCTCTGTCCCACACCTTACATGCTTCTGTTGATGTGTGGTGCACTCACCTGTGCCTCCCTTAATTGAGGGTATTTGTGATCATCTTCATCTTGTTGATGAAGATATAAAAATAAGATTTACAGCATGTTTCACCCTGAAGGTTTCATTGTGAAAAACAGGGTTTGAAAACAGTTTCAGGCAGCTACTGTGGTTTTTTCTTAGCTTACTGTATTGCTACCAGCTAGCCATAAATCCTTACCCTCTGTCTGGAACCTGAGTGACTCCATTTTGTCACGAATGAAGAAACACTGAAAAGCAATTCAGTTGGCTTGATCAGTGCTATGTGGTAAGTGGTACTTACAGGTTCTTAAGTGCTGTGGGTATGCAGATTGTTTTTTAGGGGGCTGTGTACTTCCCACCAGTCAGCAATACAAAAGTATCTTGAGCATAAACTGCCTGAAAACTGGACAGCTGGAAAACCCAACTGATTTAGCAGAAGAAATTCACAAGGTGGCAGTGCTGATTAAGAAACAAATTCTGCTGTGTCAGAATGATGGGGCTACCATTGTGATAGAAACTTGTCCCTGCTCAAAGCTGGGGGACAGGATTTCTTGATGCCCCTGCCCTTGATTCTTCATTGGTAGCAGCGCTGCTTTGGTAGTAGGGCTGGTTTAGACTGTGGTTTTCTTCTGCTGTGATGTAGATGGCTCCCTGCGTGGTTTTCAGCTCCCATGTTGAGCTTTGTCTTGTGTCTCCAGAGCGTACCCTGCTTATTCTCTTGAAGTGCCTTAGGCTTGCTGGTTAATTCAGTACCTTTAAGAAAACATCTTGAAAGCAAGATCTTTAGGTGCCCTAAAGTTTTTCAGCAATTGCTGAGTTATTGCCCGGAACAGTAGCAGTGGATACCTTCGATAACCAGGAGGCTTTTTTCACTCCAAATGTGATGCTTCTCAGACTGGATTGCTGTTGTGGTACCCGCAAGTACAGCAAGTAAATACATGCTTCAGCAAAGAAACGAAGATTCAGGGAAAGATTCCGGTTTTCAATGATAGGTGTAAAGCTGGGCTGGTGATCGGAGCAGATTCTTTTTGGTGCAACCTCCTGCTGTAGCAGGGATTGCCATGCTCTTATTTGTGCTACTCTACTCAAACACATTACAAAAATAAGCCAAACGATTTAATTGCTTACTTCTACAGCTGTAATGACCAAATTGAGTAGCCTCATGTTGTAAGAAGCATCCTTTAACATAAGTATCTCTGCACTTGTGTTTTGACTTGTGTACTGTCTGCTTTCCGGATAAATCCTTAAAGAAGCTGAATGTTGACTTTGCTATTGCCATACCCAAATAATCAAACTTAAGATGTTCCCTTTTTTAAAAAAACCAAACCACCAAACTGGGGAGACTCAGTAAATGCTGTGTGTTTCTCCGTGTTTGAGAGAGTAAGCTTTTTGAAGTTTCTATCTTTACGTATTTAGACTTTCTTACCAAGGAGAAAAGAAAGAAAGGCGGAGGGAGAATTCTCTGAAACTTAAGGAGATTAGACTTTTCAGGCTCTAAATCCAGCATGTATTTTATTAACTTACAGGAACTGGAACTGTGGCAATTCCTGCAGTTTCCTTGCTTAGAGCAGTTGGAGGAAGTAGATCCCCAGCTGTGTTTCATCTGATGTGTTAATATTGTTCCAGGTGCTCAAAATAATTTGCTGGCTGTAGCTTGGCTGTCACATACTTAGCCCTAATGGAGGGCTGTGCCGTGTTTTGGCAGTTTAATGATGTCCAGATCTTCCTTTAGAAAATCAACTTTAAAAAAAGTACGTGCAGGAGTGATGTGTGTGAACAGGCTCCTTCATAAACCATCTACAAATGCAGCCCTGAAATGACGGATTAGCTCCGGTGGGTCTCGCGTGATGGGGGGCCTGGGTGACCAGGACATGGTCCGTGCCACCCTGCCCAAGGACACTGTCATTCCAGCTGCTGATCGGGAGTGCGAGGCTGAAAATAACCCAGCGGAGCTGAGTCAGTGAGAGGCTGCTGCCATAACCTGGAAGGAAATTACTGTCATCAGGAATAAACTTCCTGGGTTGTTCTGCGGCCGGGGCAGTGCAGGAGAGAACCGGCAGCGGGAGAGATGGGTTTGACCAGCAGCGCAAACAGTAGGTAACAGCCTTTGCGTGGTTTTATTAGTGTTTTGAGGCTGCGTGAGGCAGGGTGTGCAGCCTGCAGTTTTGGGGGGAGTTCCCAGACATGTTGTGAACTTCCTGTTCAGCAGCAGAGAAACCATTTCGGGTCTGGAGGAAGGGGGGGTCGGGTGCGTTTATCACGTTCGGTGTAAGGTTTGAGCTCCTGAAAGGGCAAGAAATGACCTTCCTCTTCCTTCCTCAGTCCTGGGCAGAGACGGCAGAAAAATATATTGTTCTTATTTAGGGGATAAACAGGATTTTGGCTTGAAGTGCCATGTTTGCCTTTACTGGCAAGCTCCCCTTGTGAGCCTGCGCTCTGCCCTGGAAGCCTTCCCCCGGGCAATGTGGGTTCTGACTGTGTTTAAAACATGACCGTAGCACATCGTATTAGAAAATCTGGGTTACAAGCTTGATTCACCGTTTATTTGCCTCTTAAAGAGCACAGTGCTGAGCTTGTTTCTGGTCTTGAAGCAATGTAGAGCACAAGGAGGGTGAAGCTTAGTGGACTTGAACCTGGCCCTTAAACATGAAGGCTGAGAGAGTTTTTTTTTTTGCATTTGTCCTTAGTAGCGTCTTTCTTGTTGGTAAGCAAGGTAATGGGAAGGGCAGGACAACTTATGCAAGCGTAAATTGGAAATAATTCCTAGGAAGCCACTAGGTCATTATTTACCACTAGCCTGGTAAATAATGGCACAGTCAGTAAGAAGTCCTGTGGTGCTTGAGAGTAAAATGGGGCAGAGTCAGGAAATCTGACACATTTCAGATGTGCTGATTGCTTTTGACTTCTTCCCCTCCTGTGCATCTACCCCCTGGGCACGTGGGAGGCCTCGGGGGCATTTGAGTACTGTGACCTGAAAAACATGGATGTGTAAGAGCTGAGGATGAGTGTTACCGGAGGTGGGTGGCATTTCCATTATCGGTAGGGCTAGAAATGTTTTGTCTGTGCTTGGTTTTTGCTACAAAAAAAGCAAGAAGTTCAAGTTAAAGGTACAGCTGTGGAGGTTTAAGGTGAGAAGGTGTGGGGTTTTTTATACAAGTCAAATTTACTGCGGGAGAAACAAACCTGATGGCAGGGGACCATGCCAGCAATTAGCAAGAGGGAGGCGAAGGATTTCAGTTCAAGTGGAGACTAAATATTTTGAGGAGATGCTATATTACCTTAGATGCCAAATAGCGTTATGGAAAAAGCATCTTTGTCCCTTCCTGTTGGAACAGTTGGGATATGCACTTTTGTTTCCTTTATTCCGTACTTTCTCAGCAAATAAAAAAAGCTCTTGAAGTCGGAAAGTGTGGGAAGCCTATTTTCTGCCTCGCTTCTGGGTATCGTCGCCCTGGGTTGCAGTGCAGGTTCAAGGCTGTGGGTGAGCTGGCACCCAATGCATAGGTCCTGCTGGGAGGAGTTGTCAGGCCCTGTTAAATGGCTCCGCAGTGAGTCAGGGATGTGTTGGCAGGCCGGATCCGGGCTTCAGCTCCTGAGAAGTAGGGCTCCAAGGCACAGAAGAAGGCTGGCTCTGCCCCTCGCCCTGGGACTGTCACTGCTGGCAGCAAAACCGCAGGGTTTGGCTTCCTGGCGCGGTGAAATTGCAGGGTACGGCTGTGGCGTAACTAAATAAAGCTCTGCCCTGAACGCTGCCTCCCTCACAGCTAGACAGACAAGTGACCTATGCTTTTTAGCTCCTTGCTGGGTTTTTTGGTTACCTCATCCACTAACACTCCATCCCCTTGTCACGCTCCCCCTGAGTCATGACTCGAGCTGTCTCGGGAATGACAGCTCCGTTTCATTCTAGTTTCTAGTGTGTTGGTTGTTTTTGGGTTTCTTTGTTTTTTTGCAAAATGGATCTATTGCAAAATATCCGGCTGGTTGAAAAGCTGCTTTGTGTAGTTCTGGTTTGGGTTTATTTGCTACTGTCCCTGTTTAGGAATAGCTGGACCTCGGACATCTCCCTGCTGGAAGTGTGATCTTGCGAAATGAGAGCTGGTTTATACATTGTATATTATTCTGGAATTTCTATCTGGTTCTAAATACAAGTTCTACCTCAGTTTGACTTTGCTTTCAGATATTGGCAAACCCTGTTGCAGCTATATTCATGCTTTTGTATTTTAGGCTTCAATACAAAGCTTTGTTTGAAAAGATTTAATTTATGAAGAACAAAGTTGCCTTTTGGTTAGTACAGGCTTGACACTCTTGCTTCTCTTCAGTAACTTGATCCATGTCTCTCAGACTCTGTCATCCAGTTTGCTGTGATTGGGTTTTTTTGCTATTCTCTTTGTTTTCCAGGTTCTAGCTGATGCCCAGGCTTCCTTGTAATGATGCCGTCACGTACAAATCTGACTGCTGGGATTCCCAGTAGCAAAGTCAAATATTCCAAGCTCTCCAGCACTGATGATGGATATATTGACCTGCAGGTAAAAAGTGGGGAAGAAAACCTCTTTTTGCTGCTCCTCTGACTGTGAACTACTAGGAAAGGCTGCTATAGCTTTGCATGTGCACGGGAGGCCGCTTTTTTGTTCTGCTGCTGAGCGGCCTCAGCTCAGAAAGGTACAAAGCTAGCTGCAAGCCACCGCTTCAGCCCTTCTCCTCCAGAAAGCCAGTAGAGCTCAGCTGGAAACAAGATTGCTTGTTCCATAGGGTCGGATGCATTTCTTTGGAGGGAGGTGAAAATCAGAGCAGATCTGGATCAGGGGTGTAAACGCTGGCTCGGACAGCAGGGTCTCCATGGGCAGGATTCCTTGCAGAAGTGCCATTACAGAGCCCTGCAGCAGAGCTGCCACGACGGTTTGTCCCATGTCATCTCTGCTAGCTGTGGGATTCGCATCTCTGCCATGGTGGGAGGGGGAACTCTGCTGAGTTAAGCTGTTTAATATTTGGGGTTTTTTTCCATCCAGTTCAAGAAGAGCCCACCAAAAATCCCCTACAAGGCAATTGCACTGGCTATTGTGCTCTTCATGATCGGGACTTTCCTCATTATCATAGGAGCCCTCCTCTTGGCAGGATACATTAGCAAAGGCGTAAGTGGTTTGATTACACTTCTGTTACGAGTTTTGCATTGCTTACCCATCCCTCAAAGCCTGCTGTGAACCGTCATGTTCAGTGTAGAAATTCAGAGCAAAAGGCCTGTAAGCAAGAAAGTAATCCCGTCCACTGCCTGGCTGGTGTTTGCTGACAACCCTATTTCTCTGGCAGCAGAGCCCTCTGATGTCTTCAGTGAGCCAGTCTGGAGCAGGTTCATAGCTGGACTGGAGATCTGCCAGGGAGGGCTGGGTTTCTCTGTCCTCCTTGGGGTACAGTTTCATTTTAATGCTACATCCCTGCAGTGGTCAGCTTGCTGTCCTGGAAAAACTTCACGCTGGGATCATCACTCTTCTAGTGAAGATCATCTGGTAGCTTCTGTAGGAGATAACAGACCGCTGCTATATGGGACGGAGCACCACTTTTCTCATCTCCCTGCATTTGTGATCCATTGAAAGGGGATCTGTTGTTCGTAGTTGACTTTCCTTTATGGCACACTTCTCCTTTTACCTTGTGCTGTATGGAATTGCTTTACGGTTGGCAGCTGCTGCTTATCATTTTGGAAACAGCAGCGTTTTGGCTGTATCTGAAGCAGACCAGGCACAGATAGGAGAGCTTGCTCTCCGCCAAACATGCAGTGCTCGGCCTGTAGCTGGCAGTTTTGCAATGTGATTAAGTGTTAGTTAGGAGGAGCCACCCCTCCTACTTGAAGGAGAAGTTCACTTGAGGGTTTCCTGTAGCGAGGAGGAGATGTAGAGCGCAGCCTGAAGAAAACTAAGGTATTTCTGATTTAAGACGAATTTTTATTTTTTGTCAGCTAGCCAGGCCTTAGGGATGAATAGTTGAGGCAGGACTTAAGAAAAAGGAAGGACATTCCCCCCCATACAGATCTCTTCTTAGCGCACTTGCATATCTCTTCTCTGCAGGGAACGGACCGTGCTATCCCCGTGCTCATCATTGGGATCCTTGTGTTTCTCCCAGGCTTCTACCACCTGCGCATTGCATACTACGCTTCCAAAGGCTACCGGGGCTATTCCTACGATGATATCCCGGATTTCGATGATTGAACAATGTATTTAATCACGTTATAATTAGGTTGGCGGTAAGAGCTGGTAGCTACCCTGGATATCAGAGGGGGCCTGTAAGATCGTAGATGAAGTATGTCAGTCACAAGATGCCAGTTCCTGGTTTTGAGGCGTTGCAGGTTTTTCAGCTGGGGGGGGTGGGGGCTTGAACACAGAATTGACCAAAAGGATTGCAACATTAGGTGGGAAGAACATGTGATTGTTATTTTTCCTCTTTTGGTTACATAATGCTGGGTGCTTGTAAGAAGTTCTTCTTGACCAAGGCAATTCTAGCAGTTTTCCAAAAATAGATGAGCCAGTTTCAGCAGCAAAGATACTTGTTTTTTCTAACTGTTTTATAGAGTTTATTTTAGTCTTCAGTGAGATTGTGGTTATCATTGGGTTTACCTTTGCAGACAAAACACCATAGTTAATTTCTCCTTTTGCTCTCTGTCCATCAGAAATGCTTCCAATCTACTTGTCCTGTGCTTGTCTGGAGTAACAAAAGTCAGATGAGGGGTAAACTGCACTTGCATGGAATAATTTACACATAGTGCATTTGCTACACAACTCCCTGGTAAGACTGACCAAGCTTATTTACTCAGCAAACACATTCTTCAGAAGCAAGCGGTTTCCCACGCCACTGTTACTTTTGGCAAAATCTGTTTATCCTTTAAAAGGACTGTCTTTGGATTTTGCTTATTATTTTAAACAAACTGAATGGATATGGGGAGAAGAATTGGAATCCGGACTGGGACTCAAGTGTCTAAATACCAAAAATCTTGGGTTTGACTGGTGTATATTGGAGACACTTGAATTCCAGCTGTCTGTCTGTGTATTTGGAATAATTTTGTTCTTGTGCACAACTCCCTAGACCAGTAAAAAGAAAATCTCTGTGTAGTTTGTACTGAATGGATCCTGTTTGTATTGTTTTGCTAGCTTCAGTGATGTGTTATTCAGGGAAAACAGATTGGTAGCTCTACTTTATGTAAAGTAAAAACTGTCCGTCTCCTGAAGTGGGAATGAACTCGGTGTCCCAGAGAACACGTGTGTGACAAGTAGTGATGCAAGCAGATGTATTTAATATGAATAAACTTCACTATATTCTGTCTACAAATCTTAAGCTTGTCTTTTTCACATTCACAGATCTCGGTGTGCTCTAAAAACTGTTCTGGGCAACCAGATTAAGGCTTTAGCCGAATCTGCTGTTGCCTACTGCTTCCAATTGCTAATGTAGTCAGTCCAATCAGCATTAGGCTTTGCTGAGCCTGCAGCTTTGGAACAGCTCCATCTGCTCTCCAGGACCCTTGGCTGGCTTTGGGGTAGAGCTGGGGACCTGGGATTACCCTCCGTAGTGCAGCAATCCAGAGTGCCCTGGGTGCAGCAGGAAAACGTGCTTCAGAAGGTCAGGATTGGCTTTTTGAACCTCGTGTGCAGTCCTTATTAAATATGCAAAGACCCCAGACCTCTAATTGCTTTGTTTTGGGGTCCAAATATCCAGTTCCTTTTGTTGTGCAATGTAACAGGAGTAGTGTCTGTTTGAATATGGCTTGCGGGCTGGTACTGATACTCCAGAATTGTCAGGTGTGCCTCATTGGAACAGGCTGCCCAGGGAAGGGGTTGAGTCACCGTCCCTGGAGGTATTTCAAAGATGAGTAGATGAGGCGCTGAGGGACATGGTTTAGTGGGCATGGGGGTGTTGGGTCGACGGTTGGACTCAATGATCTTAGAGGTCTCTTCCAACCTTAATGATTCTATGATTCTATGTGGACTGGAAGTTTTTGAAAGGAAGAGGGGCGGGTATCACTGTCAGTGCAGAGCAGGTCCATGGAGATGTTGAGATGGGAACGGTGCTGGATGAATGCCTTGTTCTGAAAGTACTCTTAAAATTGCCTTTTTTCCTCCTCCAGTGTTCTAGATTAAACCCAAAGCCTGAGCCAAGATCGCTTTTTTTAACCTACATCTCTTCCCTCGTTTGACTTAATTGGCTTGCGTGTGCCCCAGTATTGCATTCTGAGGAATAGCTGACTGAACTCAGGATCTCCCCTCCCATCTCTGAAGGGCAACAACTATGCATGTCCTCTCGTGCTCTGTTGCGTCACGCCGGCCCTCACCTGTCTCACGTTCCTGACGCTGCCGGCCCCTGGGCCGATGGCAGCCCTGCTTCCCAGATGTTGTCACGTACTGCTTGGCAGCAGCTGAAATGCGTCCATTAAAGCTGGGTCTGGCCAGGAGAGTGGCTGCTGACGCAAAACCATGAATCAGCCTCTATTAGGGGACAAGAATGTGGGTTTGTTTGGTTTTTGGGAAAGGGGAGACGAAGTGGAAGGGAAGTTTAGATGGAAAAAGAAAAGGGGTGGGGAGAAGATGCTTTCAAGTGGGGCTGATAGGATGCAGAAAGTTAGCAAGCCTGGGTTGACTAAGAGGGATAAGTAAACATAGGGGACAGGAGAAGAACACGCTGACATTTCTGGAGGAAAGGCAATTAATTATTTTTTATTTGACAGAAGCAAAGTCCTCAGGCAGCACAGTGTTTAAATAAGAACAGTCCCTGTTGCTCACAGGGCTGTCTGTACAAGGGAAGGCCACAGGGAAATTTTCCTCTACAGATACTGTTTTATATCTAATTTGGAAAAAAGGAGACACTTCTGGGAAAGAAAAAAGTTATGCTGACAGCTGGCAAAATGTAGATCCAGACGACTTCATTCTTTGAGTTGATGTATTGCATTCTAAGCATGGTTTTCCTCCAGAGTATGAGTCTCTAGATGTTCAAATGTCTATTAATTGTCTAGCTGTAGTGTAGCTAATAGCAAGGGTTCAATTTAATCTTGCAAAATAGCATGAGTTCACACTTATTTCAAGAGATTGGAAAATTTTACTGCAGATATTTTGTTTCTCTGAGCCTGGTCCATACCGTAGCAGTGGTGCTGCTCTGGTGTAGCTCTGAGTGTAATCGGTGCTGTCAGCTCTTTTATTTGTTAAAACCTTACATAAGGATGAAGCTTTCCTCCCAAATGGGGCTGTTGCCCATGCGCTGTTGTTTCGGTGCCTCTGTGCTGATGCATTACAATAGGATCTTTTTAATTTTCATCCCGCTTCTGCCGCACTGTGGACCTGCGTGTGTGATTTGCACGGCTGGCTTGCCTCCTTTGCTGCCTTCTGTGAACTCCCTGACTGTGTAGCTGTATCCTTCCCTTGACCCCGGGTGCCAGATGCTGCTGCCAAACCCCACAGTTAATGGCTCTGCTCCTCAGTTCCCCTTCTGTAAAATCATGGGTGTTGTGGGTTTGGGGAGAACTGGCTGGCTCACTACAGTGGTGAGGGTAATAGGAAAACGCCTGTGAAGAAGTTTCTGGTTCTAGAGCAGGGCTTGAATGACAAATAAGGCACTGGCCCAAACACCGATGAATGAGGATAATACTGAATAGCTATTTCCTTTATTGAGCATCATCCATTCTGGGCACTGGGCAAGGCAGCTGTCTCAGAGAAAAAAATAGTCAGTATTTATATAGCTTGGTGGGGTAGTATTATGCACAGAAGCTCTGGAGAAAGAACAGGCACCCAGATTTTCGGCTTTTCTCTAGTTTGAGTGCTTGAATTCAGGTATCCTCAGTGATGTTCTTCTATTGTTGTTGTATGCTGTATTTATACAATCACACACTTAATTTAATACCATAAAGTTTCTGGAAAGACTTTTGGAAATGTGATTCTAGAGTCTTCTGGCTTGAGCTACCAGCAGTCCCAGGGAAATTCCCCCCAGTGCATTATTTATAGAAGTGAAGACTCATTTTAAGTAAATCTCTTTTTTTTTTTTGACTGTCTGGTGTGAGCAAAGCTAATGAAAGTTCCCAAGTATCCTCACAACAGAGGAAACTTCCCTTACGTAGACAAGCTCTTTGAAACATCCAGGTGAATAAACTGTGGGGAACAAACCAAGGTAGCAGTGGAGACAGTCTTGGGTAGCTTCAGACATTAACTACAAGCCCTGGAAACTGATGCTAGATCCAAAATGGCTTTTTCTCTGCTCCTCGTTTGCAATGGCTCATTGTTGATAGCATATTTTGCTCCCCAAGGCAGAATGGGGCCTGTTCCTCTCCTCTCCAGGAGGCTCGTTACCACCGTTGGTGGTGCAAATGCCACCAGCAGAGAGAGAGATGGCCACCAGTGCCTCCCGGCTCAAAGATGCCATGTGTAACTATGTCTAATTTTCTAACGCTTCCCACAGCCAGTTTCCCTTGAGAAGGGAAATCAGGCAGCAGACTTGTACCAAGTGGTGACATTCAAGTGTAGAGCTAAGGAGTCAATCTGCTGCCCACGCGCTGGCTGAGGGTCCTCAGTGGGCTTCCAGGAGAGGCTTCGCACGCAGAGATGCTGCTTAAAAGCAATGCAATGGTCTCTGCCAACTCAGGCATTGGATAAGGCTGGAGACAGCAAGGGTTTATAGCAAGCATCGTATCCAGTGCTGCATCTCTAAGGTCCTGGCTAGTGCCCCTTTTGGGAGATCCTGTAGGAGGATGCCTGCCTGAAAGGGGCTTTCTGTATCACATGGCAAAAATAGAAGGGACGGAGATAAACTCGGCAGTGGAAAGGAGCAATAGGAAAGGGCAGAATTATCCAAAGCGTTGTGCAAACGGTTCTACTAAACCCTTAAAGAGGCAGAAATTGTGCTGCTGTAGACTGCTTGATGCAATGGGGTGATGAGGAGTTTCACCAGCCTGGAGACTGTGTGAGCCTCGGGTCCAAATGAAGCCACAGCCCTGAAGGGCTTATCACCCTGTCCTGGTCTCTCAGTTCTTTGTTTTTAAGATTTGTGGAGGCAGCAATGTTGTGTTCCTTACAGGCTCATGATTTTGCATCTGTCCATACAAAGAACCTTGTAAAGAGACATCATTCTCTCTACAGCGAAGCAGCTGCAGGCCCTGCAGTCTGACCCTGGAAAAGGGGGTGTAAGTACTCCAGGCAGCAACTTTAGTTGGGCTATATATGTTTTTTGGCATCACTGTTGATCCTTCTCTCTGAGATTCTCCATGTGCTTGTGCTGAGGGAGGTTCATGGGATGGGGGAGAAGAGCAAGGCCCATCGCTGGTCCCGTGGTCGTGCCGCAAGAGGAAACTTGAGTTTCTAACTCCTTGTTCATCTTTTCTCAGCAGTGATTTGTATGCCCTCTTACTCTTTTGATAACCTCATCCTCAAGGCCTGGCTGGATGTTGTACTGTTTGACTGTCCGCAGAGCGGGGTGGTTGTAAGGAGGCTGGGCTGGCCAGCAGGTTACTGATCTTAGTCCTGAAAATATTTCAGTAGAAGTCGTTTGAAACATCTGCAGTGATAAGGGAGACAGAATGTGATGACTCACTTGGAGCACGCTGGGTATGACCCCCCGTGCTATAAATATAGCCATAAAACAAATGCTTTGTTTGAACAAACAGCGCAATCTGCAACAGCATCTCTAGTGCTTTTCTGGTACCCATCATGCAGGAACACTTAGAGCAGCCCCTGCGGTCGGGGTTTGCTTTCTTTCTGTCAACTGCAATTAGCCAAATTCAGCAACATTTGCCACTGAGAGGCTCAGTACTATACTGCTACTCTTACAGCAATATGGATTTTGCTTAGCGTAAAAGACGACGTAAAAACCCTGCAGGGCAGGAAGAAATGACTCGGCACAACAGTTCTGTCCCTTCTAATCAGATTTGTGCTACGCTCCACTTACGCCCTGGTCTAAACGAGTTTCTCCATGCTCTCTCTGTACTCCTCCCCCTCATGCCTAGTCCTTAAAAGTCCCAAGCATCAGCCCATTCATACAACCATCCCTCGCATCTTCAGCCTCTCCCTAAACTGTTCCTTAAGCTTTCTCCGGGCCCTTCCCTTGGGGTGTTTGTCCTGCTCTTCCCAGCAAGATCTCTACCTGCAAAGCACCTCCGGGACTCCTTGGCTGATCCTGCCTTTCCACTTGGCACTCTCCTCATTGCTGTGCTCTGGAGCTGCAGCTCATCAGTTTAGCAGGTAAGTGCAAATTGCCTGGCGCTCAGATCTCTCTGGCCTCCCAACTGCTAGCAGAGACCTTTGCTTTGCCTCTTCCAGCTCGAGGAAGTCAGCAGTCCTGCCTTCATTTTCT